CTCCTTCCATCCACACCCCCTCCTTCCATCCACGCCCCCTCCTTCCATCCACAAACCCTTCCCTCCATCCACCACCCCCTCCTTCCATCCACACCCCCTCTCAGGGCCTGCCGGGGTTGCTCCCTGCCTCCCTTCAGCCCAGATCTGAGGAACCCTCCGGGCCTGCACTGCAGAGCCAGTGGTAAGGGTGCATGGGGGTGGAACAGGGCCTCGGTGTGGCAGCTGGCACAAGCCCACTGCTGGTTAGTGACTGCACAGGGCCTGGCAACAGTCCTTGACAGAGGTACAGGCCCCACCCCCATCACCCCACTCCCCGCACCAGCCGGGCCCACGGGCAGGACTGTGAGGGTCTGGAGAAGAAGCTGGCTTGGAACCAGGTCAGGGGGCACGGTGGGCTGGGCAGCAGGCTTGCCCAGGCCGGGAGAGTCCTCCCAACATCCAAGGCTGGTTAGCGCCCATCTTGGGGTAGGACGGAGGGTGAGGAGAAGCCCGTGGAGTGAGACTGCTGGGAGCTGAGCTCACTGGGGAGGCCTTGAGCCACTGCGAAGTGGGGTGATCTGTGCCTCGCATCCACGGGCATCCACGGTGAAGTACGCCACGCGGAACCACGGCCGCTGCCTGGCGATGCTGGGCTTGGGAGCCAGCAGGGCCGAGGGGAGCAGCAGGCATGGGCCCCGCCAGGCTTGACCCACACTTCGCCCTCCCTCCTTCCCCTTTGCTTTTCTTCTTCAGAGAACATACATCTTCACGTTTCTCTTGAGCTCCCGGGTCTTCATGCCCCCTCATGACCTGCTGGCCCGTGTGGGGCAGATCTACCTGGAGCAGAGGCAGCAGCTGGACGCCGGGTCTGAGAAGGTAAAGGCGTGCTGACCTGATGCTACCTGTCCGTGCCCCTGGCTGCCTCCACGCCTGCTCTAAGAGAAGCATGCTGAGCGCCAGCTGGCAGCATCTGGCTGAGCCTGGCCGGGCCCTCCCTGATGCCCTGGGATGTGCTCAGGGTGCTGGCATAACTGCTGTGGTGGGCATTCAGCCCTCCTCCTGCTCAGGGCCAGTACCCCCCAGTGGAGGCCTGGCTCCATTGGTGCAAAAGAAGCCAGAGGGGCCTGGGTCCCTGCCTCCTCTAGGGGGTGGGGTGCAGCACTTCAGGCTGGGGTCTGCTCCTGGGAGTTCTCAGCGACTCAAACGGCCGTTTGCCACTGTTGTCCCTTCGACAGAGCCAGGCTGTGGGCAGTCAGGATGGTCAAGACACCGCAGCTCCGAGGCCCCGGGTCGTAGGTGAGGTGTTAGAAGCCCAGGGCCTGGTGCAGAGGGTGGCAGGCAGGCTGTCAGCCAGCTGGCAGGCCTCCTGGGGCTGCGCAGAGCGGGCCTGACCCCTGACCGGGGACTGATGACCCTCCCTCCACCTTCCCGGAGGCCGCCCTCGGCCGGGTGTGCGGCAGAGGCCTGTGAAGCTGGGCCTCCTGAGCCTCCTCTTGAGAGGGGCTGTCTCGGGCGCGGTGGGCACCATGGGCAGACACTGGCTGAAGCCTGGGGTTTCTGAAAATGAGGTCACTTAAGTGAACCTTAAGGGTGTCAACTGATGGTCCTTGGCACCAATTCAAGGCCAACACAAATCTCTAATTAGGGGTGTGGCAAAGAAGGAAACTTTATTCAGTGCAAGCAACTCAATTATGAAACAGCATGGCTGTGGCTGCAGAACAGCTGTGGGCCAGCTCAGGATAGAGCAGGGATGGCGAACCTATGACACGCGTGTCAGAGGTGACACGTGAACTCATTCTTTTCGTTGATTTTTCCTTGTTAAATGGCATTTAAATATATAAAATAAATATCAAAAATATAAGTCTTTGTTTTACTATGGTTGCAAATATCAAAAAATTTCTATATGTGACACAGCACCAGAGTTAAGTCAGGGTTTTTCAAAATGCTGACATGTCGAGCTCAAAAGGTTCGCCATCACTGGGATAGTGTCACAGCTCAGTTCTGAAGCAGCATGGCTGTGAGGTGGCTGTGGGTGCTCTGGCCAGTCACTGATGTTTCAGCTCCAGCCAGGGAAACAATCTTCAGTGGAAGGGGAAGGTAAGCCCCCCAAGCACCAGGGAGCTGATTTATATATAGAGAGGTCCCCGCCCCTGGTCCCAGATTGGTCTGTCCTTATGCAAATGAGAACTCCAAATCCTCACAGTTTGACTGGTCCAAAAAGCACTGTCCTGATTGGCCGGAATGGAGCGGCTCTGACTGGTGCTAATGCAGATATAGCTGTGCAGCTCTGATTGGATGGGGAAAGTGTCAGTCCTATTGGTTGAACTAGGATTCCAGGAACTCCTTTATAAGGCTTGGCTCTAACGGCAGGAACACAGTGCAGATGGGCAGCTCAGTGTAGGCTTCTCCCTGACGTGTGGCTTGCGTGAGAGACCCCCGTTTAGAAACAGTTGCCTGGCAGTTTTTTAAAAATGGGAGCCCAGTTAGCTACCAGGAGCCCTCTGGGTAGGCATCTCCTTTCTCAGGGTCCCCAAGGCAAATACACAACAACGCAGGTATGACCAAACTGCCGGTGGCCCTGTGGGGGCCGTCCCGCTGAGCACAGCGGGCCTGGGGTGGTTGACCACTCGTTGTCTTGTCACTCACTCTGGTGGGTCGGCCCCACCTGTGCCTACCCCCAGGCCATGCTGAAGTCCTTCTCAGCCAAGATTGTGCAGCTGCTAAAGGAGTGGACAGAGGCCTTCCCCTGTGACTTCCAGGACGAGAAGGCCATGGCCGAACTGAAGGCCATCACCCACCGGATCATGCAGTGTGATGAGGTGAGGGCCTCCCTCCGCTCAGGTGGAGCTCCGTGTGTGTGTGTGTGTGTGTGTGTGTGTGTGTGCGCGCGCATGCACACATGCGTGAAAGGGGTGAAGGTTCCTTAGGGACAGCTCTGGCCCTGCTCTGGCCCTCAGATCCCTTCTTCACAGGCAGCCCGCTAAGCCACCTGTCCAGAGGGCCTCAGAGGGGGCCCACACTGTGCTCCCCTCCGTCAGGCCAAGGTGCTCAGGGCAGGTTTGGGTTGGGCATGTGGGCTCAGCGTTGGGTATGTCCCGGGTAATGAGGCGGGTCCTCCTGAGAGGTGTGGTCTTGCCGCCAGCCCGTGCTGGCACCTCCATGCTCCCTGCCCCGCAGGAGAACGGCACGGTGAAGAAGGCCATTGCCCAGCTGACGCAGAGCCTGCTGCTGTCCCTGGCCGCCCGGAGCCAGCTGCAGGAGCTGCGGGAGAAGCTCCGCTCGCCGGCTGTGGATAAAGGGCCCATCCTCAAGGCCAAGCCCCCAGCCTCTCAGAAGGACATCCTGGGCGTGTGCTGTGACCCCCTGGTGCTGGCCCAGCAGCTGACTCACATTGAGCTGGTCAGTGCGCGCGAGCCGCTCAGGGTGGGCTGGGTGCGCGGACTCCTGCTTGTCCAGGGCCATGAGAGCCCCCACAGCTTTCTCAATGTCAGCACCACAGGCTTCCTGCTGGGCGGGCGGGGTGTCAGGAGACCCCGATCACTGCCTCTGGCCGATGTGTCCACTTACAGCAGGTTTCTCTGTGCCTGGCCCCAGGCCTCCGGGGGGCACAGCAGCCCTGTGTTAAGGGGAGGGGGAGGGTGGCCAGGACTAAAGTGGCCCCAGGATGGAGGTGAGGGGCTTCGAGGGGCGAGCCAGGTCTCCCACCCTGTCGCCTCATCCCGCCTGTGCCGGGCTGGGCAGGTCCCCTGAACATGGCAGCCACGGGCCCGAGGCTTCCACCCCACTCCTTGCAGCCCTGCTCCCTCCGCTCAGAGGAGGGCCTTCCAGGCCCCGGGTGCTTGTGGAGGGGCCCGGGCAGGGATGGCCCCGGCGGGGTGCTCGGATCAAGGAGGGGCCCTGGCACACGCCTGCAGACTAGTTCTGACCGCCGCTCCGAACACGCCCTGCACGCCGAGTGGGGGCCTCGGGGCCGGAGGCTGACCACTCCCGTGCTGTCTCCCGCCCGCCCCAGGAGAGGGTCAGCAGCATCCACCCCCAGGACCTGATGCAGATTGTCAGCCACACGGACTCTCGGGACAAGCACAGGGTGAGGGGCTGGCCTGCGGGTGGGCCCGGACCTGCATCCCGCGCAGGGTGGGCAGAGGCCCCAGGCAGCTCGCCTGAGCTCCGCTGGAGTGTCTGAGCCACGGATGTGGTCCGGCTTCCTGACGCCTGCTCCAGGGGGTCAGTGGAGGCCGCACCGGGAGATGCATGCTGGGAGGGGGCCCCGTATTCCCAGGGGCCGGGGCACCCAGCCTGGCCTCCAAGGTGAGCCCTGGGCATTGTGGAGCCCCAGGCTGGCCTAGGGGACCTGTCCAGTGGCCCCCACTCACTATCACTTGCAGTTTCCTCCTCGGGACAAGGTCCCTGCCCCTCCGTTCTGGGCCAGGGCTGGGCAGCGGTGCCAGCAGCGTCCTTGGGCTTCCTGTGACCTGCTGTGTCCTCCCCAGTGCCGAGGGGACCCGACCAAGACCTACAGCCTGGAGGCCTACGACAACTGGTTCAACTGCCTCAGCATGCTGGTGGCCACCGAGGTGTGCCGGGTACGCACCACACAGCTGCCACGGGTGGTGGCGTCTCCTCCCCACCCCCGCAGGGCTGCCCCAGACATGCTAAGGTGCTCCTGCCCCGCAGACGTTGACAATTTGCAAGTGGAGATAAGGAGCCTCCATTGCCAGGGCCTTGGGGCTGCTGCCCTCCCTGCCCCTGACACATCCGACTGTGATGCCTTAAATTGCGATGGAGACCCATCATGGAGGGCACCCTGTGCCCAGCACAGTCTATGAGCTCATCCGGGCCCCTCAGGCCTCTCGCCATCCTCCTGCCCGCATCAGACACGCCACAGCTGTGTTTCCTGCCTCTGCAGCCTCCCTCCCCCTCGCCCCCCTCTTCCCCGGGTCTGACAGCTCTGTGGGCCCTGGGGCAGCTCCAAGCAGAGGCCCTCAGGGGCGGGT